CAGCTTGCAGGGAGAGAAATGAGAGCGTGTCCAGCCAGGCTACTGCAGGCAGGAGAAGAGGGGGGTTAAGGCATTAAGACCCCACTGGGACAAATGGAAAATCCAGCGCTGGTTAACTCGGGTTCCAAATGCCACTCTCTACCTTGCTGGGGAGATGCTTATGAGGTGGGCAGTGACCTTGGTGGGAACATGAGATCTTTCCATTAGCATGGACCTGCCTCCAGCCAACCTGGGACATGGGACTTGCAGGGGTCAACCCAGACAAACCAGGATGTTTGATTGCTGTATAACCTGTTGATTATTTTAGAAACAGCACTGTAGCCTGGCCAGTGTTGCTCAGTGGTTGAGTGTCGACGTATAAACCAGGAGGTCACAGTTTGATTCCTGGTCAGCGCACATGCCCGGGTTGTGGGCTTGATCCCCAGTGGGAGCGTGCAGGAGGCAGCTGATCAATGATTCTCTCTCATCATTGATATTTCTCTCTCTCTTTATCTCTCCCTTCCTCTCTGAAACCTATAAAGATATATATATGTGTTTAAAAAGCACAAGATCTTTTAAAAAAAGAAAATAAAAAGAAAGAAATAGCACTATAATGCTAGCACTCTGAAATGGAACAATGCATACCACAGTCCCAGGGCTAGGGAATGAGTGATTTACTATATAAGCAGTGCTTGCCCATCAAGGGCAATTTTGCTGCCTTCCTCCCCCACCCCAGGAACATTAGCAATGTCTGGAGACATTTTTGGTTGTCACAACTGAGGGTAGAGTTGGGGGGCCACTGGCATCTAGTGGGTGAAGGCCAGCAATTCTTTGAAACATCCACAAGAGATCCCTAGACAAAGAATTGCCTGGCCCCAAATGGCAACGGTGCCCAATTGAGAAACACGGATATAAACCCTTCCATTTGTCTCCTATGGTGGCTGGTTCAGAAAATCCCCAAAGAAAAACAGAGAATGAGAACTATGGAGAAGTAGGAAATCAGCTAGATTTTCCAGACCACTGACCTTGCTTCAACCCACAGAGGTGATAATGGTTCTTGCTGTTTATACTTTACGTTAATAGAAAATCCATTTCTGCAATGAAGAAAATGCTGAACAACTTAAAGATTCTGATTGAAGGAATTCCCAAGTCATTAATGTGACTTGGTTTCTACCCAGGTTTCTACCAGTACATGTCTTATCACCTTGAATGAATGTATGCATGAGCCTCGTTTTCCATCAGAGAGGTTTAGAAGCTTTTCCAGAGTCGCCCAGCTGGGAGGCGGCAGAGCCAGAACCTGAACCCAGCTCTCTCTGGCTGCCGACTCTGGACTCTGGTGCTGTCTTACCGAGTTAGGCTCCCCTAGAGGCAGAGCCTGAGAAGGGTATTCCTACAAGTGAGTTATGGAGGTTTTAGGAGACACCCCCTCCCTCCCACACCCCAGCACATGCAGAAAAAAAAGCACCTTGTTCCAACTCTTGCTTTCTAGAGTGCAGCCACCTAAATGCCACCCTGAGATGCAGATGGGGGAGAGGCCCCAGGCCTCAGCTGCGCACAGAGGAAGAGGCAGATAACATGACCGAGGGCTGGGGACGCCATCAGCACCTTCTTGCAAAGGCAAACTCCAGCCAGCTGAACCCACAGTTACCAGACAATACTCGGATTGTGCTGACATCCGACCACTTAGAATGGAACTCCACTCCGCGCTCATGAACCTATTTGATGAAAACGCCTCGATTTAGATAACTGCAAATTGCTTTCTGAGCATAATTTCCTATTAGTTCATTAATCTCTCTATTCAGAACGCCAACAAGACAGCTGATGATAATTCCGGAGGAAGTGGGCGTGACGCAGGAGCAGGAGGGAAGGGGGTGAGACACTCCGGAGTCTCCTGACTTCCTGGGTGGAGGGGTACCCCAAACTAATGTATTCACTTTTGTTTATTAAGGTCTTATCATGGGCCAAGTACTAGGCTGAGCATGTTACCTTATTATTTCAGATTTAAAAAATTATAAAAATCTCATGAGTAAATGAACAAATGGTTCTGCCCATTTTTTCTAAGAAGCTGCCCCCCCCCCCAAGTCTTGGTGCCACCTCTCTGAAATTCCCCGTCACTGTCTTTATCGTGCACGTCTGTTTCACTGAAATTCATTTCTCAACAGCTGTCTCCCCTAAACTCCTGGACAGTGGGGTCTGTGTGCTACCTGTCTCTGTCCCTCATCCAACCCCTCTACCTTGCCCATAAGTGTGACCAAAATGTCGCTACCTTTGAAAACAAATACCAATGACCGTCCATCCTCGCTGTTCTTAATGCAAAAGCAGAGGGTTTTATTCACAGAAGAATACATGCAAATTTAACTGGCGAGACCTGTGGTGCGGGCTCACCACTCCAACCTGGAGGCGCGCTCACCCTGCTGCAGTTACACAGGGACATGTCAGAATTCCCGAGCATGCCGGCCCCGCAGCAGCGACATGTCTGCTTCCCACTGTGGCAGGTTTTCTAGGGGCTCAGCAAACTGGTGCCCACGGCACAGCGGAGCATGGCGTGGCTTGAATTCTGCCGTGTTCACACCAGGAGTCACTTTTGCACAAGGTGAGTGAGGAGAAAGTTCTGTAATAGAACCTTGTAACCTGGGGGCAAGGACATGTCACTGACTCCTCCCACCAGTCCTGCGGTGGGTGCTCCTAGTGCACCCACTTTACAGATAAGGAAACTAAGCTCCCAGATGGCACATGTCTTGCTCAGGCTCATACAGGGAGTTGGGCGATGGAGCTGGGACTCAAACTTGGTCCTGGCTGCTTCCAAAGTCTGTGCTTCTAGCAGCCAGCCCTCCCCCAGATCCTCATACTTCCTCCAGTCCCCCCCACCCCAACCCTTGGCAGGCTCCAAGCCTTTGCTCATTACTTCCAGAACAGAGGACAGAAGCACAGGACGCCTCTGAGTTCTGCATCCAGTGCCGAAAATTAAACGGCTCAGGAAGCCTCAGCCTGGCCGACTCCTGGCTGTGTCCCTGTCACCTAATTACCTGCCTTCAAAGCCTCCACACCGCAGCTGTGAGGCTGTGAAAGCTGCCTTGTCCCCCACAGAACACGGTGTGACTGCGCACAGCCCAGGAGCAGCTGGTGTTCGGGGGAAATCAGACAGCTTTCCGGTTGGACCCCAGGCCTGGCCTTGTGCCTCTTGGGAAAGACCAGGGGCCGCCATCTTCGGGGCTCACCTGAGAGCCTGGGTCTGTGGAGGACCGAGGTGGGCAGGGGGCCTCCCAACACAAATGCTTGGTAATTACTGTCCTGTCTATCTTCCCTGTGTCCATGGAGCTACAGGCTCCTTAGGGGCTGGAGCTACCTAATCCTTCCCACAGGGGAAGGGAGCCTTCCCCTCATCACTCGGGTGAGACCTGCAGGCTGGCAGGAAGAGGGAGCCCTGGTCCCTGTGCTGGCCCACCTCCATCACCGGCAGGGCTGGGGGTGGGGCCTGCAGGGGCCCCAATGAGAGTGTGGGACAGACAAGGCTACAGAGGAAGAAGGTTTCCTGCCATCTTTTTTATTTTAATTTATACACACACACACACACATACACACACATACATACACACACACACAGTCTTTCTGATTTCAGGGAGGAAGGGAGAGGGAGAGAGATAGAAACATCAATGATGAGAGAGAATCACTGATCGGCTGCCTCCTGCACATCTCCTACTGGGGATGGAGCCTGCAACCCGGGCATGTGCCCTGACAGGGAATTGAACCATGACCTCCTTATTCATAGGTCCACACTCAACCACTGAGCGATGCCAGTCAGGCAGTCTCCTGCCATCTTTTAATCTAAGTGGCGCCAGGCAGCAGTCAGACGTACATTCATCTGTAACTCTTTGCTATAGCTGAACATTATTGACTATTTTACAGTCATTGGACCAGAGTGGGTACTTGATACACGTTTACAGAAGGAGAGAGGGAGGCCAGGCAGAGAGGCATGTGTGACCTGTGACGGAGGACAGGAGTCTGAGCCTGCCCCCGCACCAGGCTGTGTCGTTAGTGCTGATTTCTTGAATGCTCATTGCCACAGCAGGCAGGTGTGATGATTACTCCTGTCATGTAGATGAGAACACTAGGAACAGAAATGTGAGGTGACTTGCCCAAGATTACATCGCTAGAAAGCAAGAGAGCCGAATGTAAACCCATCTTAGTCTGACTCAAGAGCCCACATTGGCCACCATAGTTTTTCTACAGCCTCCCCACCTTTGGCCAGCCATGACCTGGAACGTATGTGTGGACGTGGGGTGGGAGGAGAACTGGGGACCAACATGATGCCACAAAAAAAGTTAGGGGCCAGGGTTTAAGTCCTGACTGCCACTTCCTGGCTGTGTGACTTCAGGCAGGAGATTTATTCTTGCCAAGACTCAGTTTTCACATCTACAAAATGGGGAGAATCATCACCACACACCTCCCCCGCCCCACCCTCCAGCTCAGAGGAGAAACAATAAAGAAGAAAAAGATTTCACAAAGTCTAACTCGGGGATTGGCAAACTACAGCCAAGGGGGCACAGGCCAGCTGGCAGAATATTTATGCAAATAAGGTTCTATGGAAATATATAAATGTGTCATGCTCATTTGGGTATTGTCTCTGGCTGCCTTTGAGCTACATGGCAGAGCCAATAGTTGAAACAGAGACACTATGGCCTAGACGCAAAGCCTAGAATATTTACTATCTGATCAGCTCTGGAAAAAGTTTGCCAACCCTTATCTTGGATGCTATGAAGACGCAAGGTGCCCCGTGCCTCAGCAGGCAGCACTATGCGTTCATTTCCAACACCGCCCATCAGCTTGGGCTCTCCTTCAGAACTGCTCCCCTTGAGCTCTTCCCCAAATATACAGGTTCATTTAACATCGATTTTCGAAAAACGGAACAAGCAACTCAACTGAAAGTCAAAAAACCACTCCCACCAGCCATTTCAGGGCCCGATGAAGCGCTAGCTGACACCAGGCACCGTGAGAAGACGCTTCCAGGTACAGCCACTTACTTGCAATTTTTACACTTGAGGCCAAAAAGCATCCCTTTCCCACAAACTGTGCACGTCTGAGACATCCAGTACTTGGTGGAAAACCTGTGGAAAAGAGACAGAAAATGGTCAAGGTTAGGGTGATGGCGACTGACCTGTCTCTATCAGGATGAACCCCTTAAAGGTAAGACCTCCAGGCTGGCATCTGATTCCAGTCCCGCTTCTTCCAAGGTGTGACTTAATCAACTTGCTTAAACCCCTGGAGCCTCAGTTTCCTCATCTGTAAAGTGGGATAATAACAGTACCTACCTCATAGGTCATCGGGAGGATTAAACACAGTCATGAAAAGTGTCAGGGCTTTCACACAGCCCCTGACAGATAGTGAGCCCTCAATTAATTGGGTTGTGACTGTATTACCTGATCATTCCTAAACAGTCAATCAGTCATTCAACAAATATTGCCTGATGTCCTACTATGTATGTGCCAGTTCAGTTCTAGGGCAGAGTTATGGAAGGGGCTGGAACTGTCCTTGGAGCCTCCAAAGCAAGACAAGGCCTCCGGAAAGTCCAGCTAAGCCATTCCCCATCGCTGCTCGCCATGTCACCTGGGAAGCTTCCAGAGGGGACCACGCCCCAACAAGCCAAGACCACAAACTGTAGGAGAGTCCCCTAAAAAGAAAGCCTTTCAGAACATCAGCTCCTCTCCCTCCCCAACCACCACCACTTGCTGCAACCAAGGCAGCTTAGAGGCCTCTGACATACAGCGACGAACCAGCAGGAATGGAGGTGCATTCCTCCATTTCCAGCCCATGGGGGCCCGGGTACTTTCTTCTCCAAGAGACAGCAGGCGCTGAGCCAGGGAGTGGAACAGAGCCAAGAACATGGCCAATCCAGGGGGAGAACCGAGTCAGGGGTATTGCTTAGCCAGGGGTGAGGCCAATCCAGGGGGGAGAACTGGGTCAGGGGGTGTTGCTTAGCCAGGGGTGAGTTCAATCTGGGGCAAGAACTGAGTCAGGGGGTGTTGCTCAGCCAGAGGGTGAGGTCAATCCAGGGGGGAGAACTGGGTCAGGGGGTATTGCTTAGCCAGGGGTGAGGTCAATCCAGGGGGGAGAACTGGGTCAGGGGGTGTTCCTTAGCCAGGGGTGAGGTCAATCCAGGGGGGAGAACTGGGTCAGGGGGTGTTCCTTAGCCAGGGGTGAGGTCAATCCATGGGGGAGAACTGGGTCAGGGGGTGTTGCTTAGCCAGGGGTGAGGACAGTCCAGGGGGGAGAACTGGGTCAGGGGGTGTTGCTTAGCCAGGGGTGAGGTCAATCCAGGGGGAGAACCAAGTTAGGGGGTGTTCCTTAGCCAGGGGTGAGGCCAGTCCAGGGGCAAGAGCTGAGTCAGGGGTGTTGCTTAGCCAGGGGTGAGGCCAGTCCAGGGGTGAGAACTGAGTCTGGGTGTTGCTTAGCCAGGGGTGAGGCCAGTCCAGGGGTGGAGCTGAGCCAGGGGCAGTGCAGAGGAAAGAAACAAACAGCAGGCCCCCGTGATGCCCCTCTCTGCATCTCGCTACCGGACCACTGATGTGTCCATCACACGTTTCGCACTACTTCCTCCGCCACTTTCTCATTTGAGACTTCACAAGTGTCCCATCAACGTATTTCCTTCAAGAACTGTTGATGAGATGCCTTTCCAGGACAGCGTACTGCCCTCCACACCCACAGCCCTAATCTCTCCCTACTGTCCTGGTCTGTTTGCTGTCTAACCCTCCACTAGACCATGAGATCCTTAAGGACGCGGGTCTACATCTCTCTCAGTGCTGCAGCCAAGGCACAGAAATTCTCTACAAATACGAGTGGACAGAATCCATGAATGAGTGAACCAGTCCCTCAGCCCATTCACGGAGTCCTTGGTGCAAAGAAACCTCTCAGCAGCATGTTCAAAGAACACAAAGTGCTGAGGTCAGCTGGCTTGTAGATCCATCACTGAATCGTCCAGGGCCTCAGCTTTCCAATCTGTCAAATGGACATGACCACACTTTTGCCATTTACCCCACAGTGTTTGTGAGGAGACTGTGAGGATAATGAGCTAAACTGTGGAAAGTAAAGAACTTCTTATAAGGGATGACTAGTAGTTACAAATCTCCCTCCTGAAAGGGCAGGTGTGTCCCTGGAGAGGTGGCCCCATGTACCCAGCGTGGCTGCAGCTCTGCACTGACTGACACCTCAGAAGAAGTGACCATCCATTCCTGAGTCTTCTGACCCAAAACTAGGATGTAAAGCATTTGTTTTGACAAGGATACCAGTTATTAAGTGGTTATTATATGCCAGGGCCTTTGCTTAGCACTTTAATATAGTATCTCATTTAATCCTCATGACCACCCTGTGGGTAGGCAGAATTATCTGATGAGAAAATTGTGCCTCAGAGAGGTTAAGTAACTTCCTCAAGGCTGAAAAGCTTTACTACAGTGGTTCTCAACCTTCCTAATGCCGCGACCCTTTAATACAGTTCCTCATGTTGTGGTGACCCCCAACCATAAAATTATTTTCGTTGCTACTTTATAACTGTAATTTTGCTACTGTTATGAATCGTAATGTAAATATCTGATATGCAGGATGTATTTTCATTGTTACACATTGAACATAATTAAAGCATAGTGATTTAATCACAAAAACAATATGTAATTATATATGTGTTTTCCGATGGTCTTAGGCAACCCCTGTGAAAGGGTTGTTCGACCCCCAAAGGGGTCGTGACCCACAGGTTGAGAACTGCTGCTTTACTATCTGGGATTGGAACACAGGTCACTCAAACTCCAAAGCCCTGGCTTTTAACCATTATGTGCTAATTTCACATGGGCCAGGTTAGTAAGACGCAGACATCTCAGTCCCCGGCTGTCACGCTGAGGTTTAGCCTGGCCCATGCGAGAGCAGCATGGTGACATAGCAGCTGGAGTGACACATCTGCCCAGCCTCTCCCCACCACGGGGGTCACAGTGCCCAGCCCTCACCATGCCTGGAGGTAGGAATCCAGCCTACCTGTGCTTGATGGAGTTGCTAAGGTCTCTGCGAGAGATCTGCGGGGACCAGCGCGGTACTGACAGTGTGTCTGCGGGGAGAGAAGAGAGGAGGACAGCCGGTTACACAGAGGCCAGAGCCTGGTGTGGGCCCATTACACAGAGGATTAGAGGCTGGTGTGGGCTCCAGCCAAACCGAGTAAGAGGGAGGCTCACCGCCCTCAGGAAGGACAATGACCACATCACTTGTTAAACCAAAGCCGAGCAGAACGCTGGTTTAGCCTGTTTATCTTAACCCATGCAAGGTCCCCGGGCAGGGCAGCCAGAGAGTGCCTTAAAGGAAGCCAGTGTGCAAACAATAAGATTAAGCATCACTTGCATTTACAGAGTGCTTAGTGTGTGCTGGGTGTGTGCCCACACGTGCCTCAGTTCAGTACGCCGTGAACAATCCCAAAGACGGGGGCTTGTTAGCATCCCCACCTTGACGGTGAGGCAGCTGCGGCCTGGAGAGAGGAAGTCAGTTGCTCAAGGTCATACACCTCGGAAGCAGCACAGTCACTGGGAAGCCAGGCTTGAGGGCTCTAGGCATGTGCCCTTGCAGGCAAAGTTCTAAAACGGTAGATTCCAAATGCCAGTCACGCAAGTACCACCCTCCTAATTTTGGTCACGACCCTGTATAACCCATAGAATTATTTGTTTCCTATTTTAAGTTGACTCTTTTTGTTTGTTTAAATACATTTATCTTAAAATCAAAGTCTATATGGAAAACTAGTATCACTTTCTATATATTGTAGGTAACTATTTAAAATATGTCCATGAACCATCTAAACTCATTCTAGAATAAAGGGATGGACTGGTTGATGAACAGGTGGATGGATGGCTAGATAGATAGGTCGATGGACTGGTTGGTGGGTGTGTGGATGGATGGATGGATGGATGGACGAACGAACATGTGGGTAGGTGAATGGTTGAATAGGTGGATGGATGAACAGATGAGTGGATAGATAGATGGGTAGATGGTAAAATGCTAGGTGGATGAGTGGGTATGTGGATGGGTGGATAGGTAGATGGACTGGTAGGTGGGTGGGTGGATGAATGGACAGATAGATGGATGAATGGTTGGAGAGGTGGGTGGCTGGACAGATGATAGGCAAGATGGGTAGGTAGGTGGATTAAGTGCTAGGTGAGTGAGTGGATGGGTGGATGGATGGATAGGTAAATGAAGTGGTAGGTAGGTAAGTGAGTGAATGGGTGGGTGGATGGATGGATGGATGGATGGATGCATGGATGGATGGATGGATGGATGGATGGATGTTTGGACAGGTGGGTGGATGAATGGTTGGATAGGTAGGTGGATAGACAGATGACTGGATAGATGGACAAATGGGTAGGTGGGTGAATGAATTGCTAGGTGGGTGGATGGATCGATGGGAATGAGGGGGAAACAATACATCACACAGACTTCAGACTGGATTCCTGTCCCCATCTGGTCTTTTCTTTTTTATCTTAGACTAAATCCCAGTGACCTCCACTGACTGAGTTCTGGGACTTTTTCTGCAGCCTGAGCCCCAGCCCCCACCTTCCCTCCACTTCCCGGCTCCTCACAGACCTTGAAGGCGCTGAGAGGTGTGAAGCAACAGCAGAAATGAACTAGTGCTGCCTGTGAAAGCTCCACCAGCCAGGGCGAGGAGAAGCCAGAGGCTGACCCACACGCCAGCTCTCATTTCTCAGGCCGGATGGATGGGGCCAGCTCCCTCTTTTCCGAGCTGCAAATGCACGCCTCATTTTTCACAGCAATTGTAATGGACTTGTGTGCTCACGGGGGAGCCGGGCTTGTCTGAACTGATCAGGGAGCATTTAACCCCCAGCCCATTCAAACCCTCTCTTTGGTCTCATGACACTGGCGGCAGCCATCTGAAAGCTGTTTCCAGAAACCCCAGTTCTGCCCTGGGACCCTTTCTCAGAAAGCTAATGATTCTCCAAGCCCCAAAGGGCAGGGAAAACACAAGAGGGATGCAGCTGACAGATCACTCTCTCAGAATCACTGCCAGTGGAATCCCTCTAGTTTAACTAAAAACTAAATGTCACCCCTCTTATAAGCCCATTTTACTGCTTGTTTAGTTTCTGAGAAACAAACAAGCAAACAAAAAAGACAAAAAAGAAAAACATTTGAGAGAGAGAGAGAGAGAGAGAGAGAGAGAGAGAGAGAGAGAGAGAACACGCAAGCGTGCTTTCTTCCCATTGCCATCTCCTTTGGGGACTGAAGTGAGATTTGAGAGGAAGGATTCTACCTGCTAATTCCTTAAAATGTCTTCTCCGGGGCCAGGGATGGGCAAAGGGGTGAAGCTGTGCTGGAGAGGAGGGTCAGCTCAGATACACCGCCGCCCTGTGGGGAATCCACAGAATGGGAGTGCCACAGGGGAGCTCCATCTCCCGGAGCATCAGCAGGGCTGTGGGAAAGGTGTGTTGAGGGGATTCTGAGGCTCGCTAGGAAAGACCTGGGAGATTGACTAGCAATGCCTGCAGGGCGAAGCATAAGGTCGTACCCACAAGTCTGCATATGTTTGCCTCCACAGCAAGCACAGAGACCACATCTTTGTCTCTGCCTCACTGCCTCAGAGCATAGGGGCGGGGTCAAAATAAGTGCTTAAAACATGTTTGCTGAATCTAAGATTATTATAATATAAACCCTGAGTTTATTGATCACTCAGTACGTGTTACCCGTTGGAGTTTCTACCTGGAAGCTATGCCTTGTTGCACTCAGGGTTCTCATTATTCCCGCTGTACAAAGGAAGACACAGGAGCTCAGAGAGGTGCAGGGACTTGCTGAAGGTCACACAGCCAGGCACTAGCAGATCCTCAAGCTGTAACTGCAATTGTTCACAAGTCCTCCGAAAGCCCTACACCAGTGTTCTCAGCCAGGGGCACTGATGGCCCCCAGGAACATTGGGCAATGAATGGAGGCATGTTTGGTTGTCAGGCTAGGGTGGGGAGGATGCTACTGGTATCTAAGAGGTAGAGGCCAGGGATGCTGCTCAGCATCCTACAGTGCATAGGACAGCCCCCCACAGCACAGAACTAACCACCCCCAAAGTCAATGGCGCCAAGGATGAGAATCCCAGATCCAGATGTTTTTGCTTCTCCAGGCATCTCTCTAACCCTCAGACCCCAAATGACCTGGATGGTGTTCCTGAGGCTCAAGTCAGCAGACAGCAAGTCCTCTTGTATTATAAGCACATCTCACTGTTCCACTCAGAGCCTAATTATCCTGTTATTCTCAATTACAGCGCCGTCTCGAAAAAGCAGAAGTAATTAAGTTTAGTCGTTTGGTTTCATTCTCCCAATATCTGGTTGAAGGGTGAACTCTGTCCATTACATTACGAGCTGCAGCAGCGTTCTTCTCAGGCTATAATAACCTGCTCACAGCATCACACAGGGTGTGAAGAGCTGAACTCTGAGACCCTCCCTTTACTTTCTGCGTTTCGATTTCATTACACTTGCCAATGCAAGCCTTAAAGCAAAGGGAAACCGTTTAAAGGGAAAGGGGGTGGGGCGGTGGAAATCTATGAAAATAGAGGCCTTATCATAACAGAGAAGGCAAACAGCATTTACAGCAATTAAACTGATACAGAAACTTCTGCTTAACAATCAAAGCGCCTATTAAGATGTCTCCATAGCTGAACAAAAGATTCTTTTTCTAGTCTAATTTTCTGATAACAAGTCGTGCAGACACGGAGGCAGAACTGCTGCTTTCGGTCCCAGGGGGAGAACACCAGACATGTCTTCTTAGACATTTTCATTCCCGCTGCCTGGAGAGGGAACGTGCTGAAGGGGAGGTGGGGTCTTCTCCCTCCTGCAGGCCCCTGGCAATGCCCTCCACAAGTGCCTCCGCACAGAAGGGGTAAGCCAGGAGCCTGGTCTTTGAAACCACCCTGGTAGCCAGATAGACAAACAGAAGCCTCGACAGAAGAAACTGACATTAATAAAGCATCCATGTAATGTAGAGCTTTGATATGAAAACTCAGAGTCAGACGCGGGAAAAGCATCGAAAAACATTTAACACAGGGACACCAGGTAAAAACGGTGACAATAAAGAGGACGAGGAGGGAAAAGAACAGGAGGAAAAGAAATAAGAATAACAATCAGCCCAGCAGTGAGGCTCAGCGGTTGAGTGACCCTGAACCAAGAGGTCAATGGTTTGATTCCCCATTCCCCATCAGGGTATTTGATTGCCAGCTGATTGATGATGTTTCTCTCTCACCGATGTTTCTATCTCTCTATCCCTCTTCCTTCCTCTCTCTTTAAAAATCAATAAAAACATGTTTATTAAAAAAATAACAATCAGAAGAAAATAAAAAATAATAGATATGCTTTTTGTGGAGTGTTACCATGTACAGGCACTATTGCCAAATAAGGCCTATCCTATCTAATAAAAGAGAAACATGGTAATTAGCGTACGACCGCTACCCTTCCCATTGGCTAATCAGGGTGATATGCAAATTAACTGCCAGCCAAGATGGCGGCCGGCAGCCAGGCAGCTGGAAGCGAACATGAGGCTTGCTTGCTTCAGTGACGGAGGACTCCAACGTTCCCCGCCTGCCGCTGCCGGCCTCTGAGCTTGCAGTTTAAGAAACATTGTAACAAATATAGAAGCTAAACAAAATCCCAGAAACCTGCTTTCAGCGAGCCGGGATCTCAGAGCTGGAGTTGATACAGTGTCTCGATTATAGAACCTAAACAAACCAGATACCTGTTTTTAGCAGCAGAGGCCTCAGAGCTGGAGCCAGAGCTAAAGCTGGCCCAGAATAAAAAATAAAAGAAAAAAAGGAGTGGTTGGGAGCTTCAGTCACCCGCCAGCCTGAAAACAGCCCTCAGCCCCTCACCCAGGCTGGCCAGGCACCCCAGTGGGGACCCCCACCCTGAAGGGTGTGTGACCAGCTGCAAACAGCCATCATCCCCTCACCCAGGCTGGCCAGGCACCCAAGCGGGACCCCCACCCTGATCCAGGACACCCTTCATGGCAAACCAGCCGGCCCCCACCCACGCACCAGGCCAATATCCTATATAGTAAAAGGGTAATATGCCTCCCAGC